CTGAGGATCGTTTTGTAAAACCTTTATAGGTGTGGTTTTAAAGCGGGGCGTCACCAATCATCATATTTCGCTGGCCATCGGAGGTAAATCTTATTATACGCACAGTACTTACGATTCTTAATAAATACCGGAATTCAGATATCCGAGAGAGCCTTTGATATCCGTGTACAATTGCTTGCCCATATTAAGAAATCACAGCTGCGATGGTTTGGGCATGTGTTGCGAATACCTCCCGAAAGAAAGGCGAAGTAACTACTATTTGCCCATCCAGCCGGCCGAATACCCAGGGGGTGCACACCAATAACCTAAGGCAACTATACGGAAGGGCTCTTCTCAGATTCAAGTAAAGTTTTGCCAAAACTCAAACGATGGCACATGATTAAAAAAACTGGAGGCAAAGTCCGATGTGCTTGCCTCCGCGACCTTGAAAGAATAAGTTGTCACTGAAACTGATTCACAGTGTCATAAAAATCGACATTTCATGATACTTCAGGTGAGTCACAACTAAACTGAAGAGAATCAGATCGCAGTGTTCGAAAGATCTTTCTTCCGTATTAACTGAACACAAAAAATAATTTTATCATCGTTCTGCCGTTATTCAGTAGTGCATCTCGAAGTTACATCAGCGCAAACAGAAAAATTCGACGCAATCCTACCGACTACAATATAGAACCGGTCGACGCCGGTCTTCTCCTCGATTTTGCCCAGCAGATTATTCAGATGATTCGACTCGTGTAGCTTTTTGTTCACCTCGCTTCGAATTGAGTTAATTTTGGCGACGAAGGCCATTACCTTGACACAATGTTAATATAACCTAAAATATACGCAAATTCACACAGCTTATTACGCCGGATACAAACGAAACAAACGCGTGAACGATTCGATGATGACAGAAGCGAAACGTTAAGAAACAATTATTAACGCATAGGTTTAAGTTACAGTTCGAGTTGTAAAAGGGTACTGAAAAAGACAGAACTGTCGAAAGAAAAAATATGAATATATGAACTGTTATGCTAGAGCATGCAAACTGATGCATGATTTTTCAATACCAAATTTCACCAGCTGCTCAAGGGAGCAATCAAAAGTGCTTCTACCAGTGCCGGTTGTCAAATACCATTGAGCCGTGGCCTGCTTAAAAGACTCCACTAGCAACTATGAGTAACTAGCTGTAGAGGGGGCGAGTGAAATAAACAGTGAAATCTGGCTTGGGTGAAATCTTGCACCAACGAACAACCATCTAAAGTTATTCAGAATTTCCGATATTACGACTTGTGCCAGCCATCTCGTCACGCAAGCCGTGACAATTTTCCTGTGAAAAAGAAGAGTACTTGAAAAACGGTAAATATCGTAAGAAAAGCATTAAGAACAACAGAAAACAAAGTCTACTACTTCACAACTTTCAAAACTTTACAATTGCATCCCGCAGACGTAAATGTAGTTGGAAACGTACTGACCAAAAAAGTCACATGGACAAATGCGGTGGCGACTGCAGCTGTCGTTCAAACGCCTGATTTTAAAAAATCAATTGAAGCCGTAGCGAAATTTTCAAATCAATTATCAAGGGTTTGATAACCGACAGCGATGTCCAGAAAACAACGAAAAGCCCATAAACAAAAATTTACATTGTGCATGTTTCTCAAAAGAACTCCAATTCCAATGCTTCATTAAGAAACTATAAAGAGGAACACGTAATAGAAAGCTCGCTTTAACGACAATATCCAAAAAAACAGCCAACAGCCACTCCTCTACGAATATTTACGAAGCAGAGCGACGCCAAGCAGTCCCGACACGTGCCTAACCGAATGATCAGATGCTTAGGCACAGAGTGCACAGCTGGATCATACTCTGAACTAACCAAAACAATGGTCGACACAGAAGCTTCAACTTCGGGCTACAGCGAGGAATTCTGCATACTCTTGCCTGTACATTTTATTTGAAGTAGCGGAGTGAACATTTCGCGAACCAAATATCCGGTGTCACTGTGTGTATGATGAAGGGGGGAGAAAATCAGTCATAGGTCTGAGTCTGAGTTCAAATTGAACGTGTGACAATTAATTAGGAAAAATGACCATTTTCCGTCGGACAAACTCTTTGGCCAGTTAACAAGGGTATAATGAGCTTAAAGCATGAATAGAGAACCTTGATGTCAATCGTTCCATCCCGATCGTGGTAAACGCTTTCGTTGAAAATAATTAACCTTATTCGAAATGATAAACAGTATCTGCTATGGAGAACGCATTCCGTCGTATTTCGGAACAACATATTTTGCTCTGGCCGAAACTTGTGAAATGCAGTCGGTTACACGCAACTGTAAGGCAACTTTTGCGGCCTATTTCAACAGAGAGCTTATTGTTCAGTCTACGAGCAAATATTACTTTATTTTCGTTCCCACTCGATGACTCGAACAACATCGATACACTAGCTATGTTGACACAGCATCGACCCGAGTCTAATGCAGTAAAATCGATTCGACTACTGCTTAAAGTGGATAAGTCGCTCTCGCCAGTTCAAAGGCAAAGACAGAGTTAAAGCTGAACAAAAGAATAGCAACAATTTGCATGTCCAAAAACATACCACAATCACTGACGTTCTCTTCATCCTCATTACCGCTATCCCAATCTTTATATTATCTTGATTGCCGTCGTCTTCATCATCATCTCCATCACTACCATGACCATTACCAAAATCGTCATCAACCATAGAATAATCAATCGACTGTCATCAATAGGGGGAGGTTCGGGCCAAAAATTACCTAAACTTTTCAGCAATTCACTCGCTTCAAATTCCATGAAAAATTTGTTAAATCAGCCCGTGACGATAAGTATTTTCTGCATCTTCAACCCGTTACTTCAACCAACTAAGCAGTCAGTTCAAATAGGCAAGGTCCAACTGACTGCTGCGGAAACGCGTCCCGTTGGACAAAGGATACAACCCAAAAATGCTCTGTTCAGAACAGCGATTCGAAGAGAATGAGTATTTCATTCCTACTTTCTTGATCATACTGAAAACAGCATAAAATACGGTTTATTTACACACGATGCAAACAATTTAGCTAATCAGCTGATTGATGCCAAAGGAAGACATATCTGGCCATTCATCAAGGTAGAGAGATGGGCTAGTTTTAAAAGGTTTTCTTGTTCCAAACGCTGCGAACGACAAAAGAACTTCCGAAGCCAACTCAATTCACAACCTTGAAGAAAGCCGTTGATACACGAGCCGAAACATCGGTGCTAATCAATCGTCCAATTAACTAAATTGCTAAATTGTTTCCGTTGTGTATAAATAACGCGTGTTTTATGCTGATTTCAGTAGCCTTTCCCAGACATTTACAGGGTAGTAATAATTTTAAAGATTTTCAAATATGTACCTCGCAGCAAATAATACAACATATGTGCGCACACACAAATACACAGACACCAATATTATCAGTCATGAACTGAAATTTTCAAGTGTTAGGCTAATCTCTAGTTCGACCAAAAATAAAGTGTATTTTCCTAAACAGCTACGGTAGTCGTGAAGACCTAAAGCAAACGGCGGCCAGCTAATGAGGTAATGGCAAGGAGGGACCGCCAGAACTTTTGTGACCGCATGTCAGAAGGAAATAGCAATCATGTTCAAAAAAAAACTTATTCTGACTACATACCTGAAAGATTGAATTGCTCAAAGTAATTAGGTGCATACTAAATCAATGACATTCTCCGAAGGTCACTACGACGAAGACGTTAACTACAAACTTGTATCGGTGTTCGTTTCAGCACCCTGACGTAGCATACCATAAACTGGCAAGCCAGGAAAGATGACACCCGAAGCAAAGACATACTGTGGTAAAACGAATGCTAAAGCAAATGCTAAATTCTAAACTTAAAGACTGCATAAATGTTTTCGAGACGAAAGGTAAAAATTTCCATTAGGCAACTGGTAGTAGAAAAATATTACGACGATGGTCGCATTCTCTGGACATATTACAGAACATAATATACAATAATATAGATTGCCGAAAACTTATATTGCTTCTGTGCCTCATTTTTCGAAAGGGGTTCTTCAAATTCAGTGGTCATGATCACGGCTGCACGGCTGAGACTGATGCACTACTAAATCGTATTCTTAACTGCCTCTACGAGGCAGCTTAGTCAGTAGCGAGTCAAACTCACAACTTCAAGATTTTGGGTTCGAACCTTGGTCAGAAATTCGCTTTTCTTCTTTCTCAAATAGATGAGCACCGCTCTGTAGGAAGGAATAGGAAACTATAAACCATTCAGTCCCCGTAGCTGTAGACTCAGCCTTTAATAAAATAAAGCACACCAGGTTGATTGTACAGAAACGAAGATCACCACAGTACCGTAAGCGTTATGAAACGACAGGAAAATATGTCACTTAAAAAATAATGATACCTGATTGAAATGGCGAAAATGTAGTGCAAAAAAAGAAGAAAACTCTTCTTCTTCTTTACACTGTGCAGTTTCTCCGTTTCAATCCAGTATCATTATTTTTAATGTGACATATCCAGCGGCGGTATCGAAACCTCCCTCAGAACATCGGGATTCCATTTTGACACTCGCTCGCCTACAGATTATGGCAATGTTATCTGTTTGAGCATACTTTTCTTAAACCCATGTTTGAGACGCGGTCCTGCGCCCTATGTATTGCAGGCATTTAAATTACCATGAAGCTGTGGCCTGCTTAAATGATCCCCTTCGGCATCTAGAAGCAAGGGGGCGGTGTATTAGAGGTACTGGTTACAGTGAGAAGCAGATTTTTCTTTTTTTTTCTTTACACTGTGCACTTTCGCAGTTTCAATACTATATCATTACTTTTAATATGACATTTTCAGTGACGATATCGAAAGCACCCTTAGAACATCGGGGTTATATTTCGACAATGTTTGTCGCCTTTGGAATGTTGGTCCTCCCTCACTTTCGTGATTGGGCCAATTTCATACCCTTCTTTTGAAGCTGACAGTGCGATGCTGATCACCGTTTCTATGCCATCAGCCAAAAATGCATTATTTTTTTAAAGACAGAGACTACATCCATCTGGAAAGAGTAGCACGTAGTCTGCTACTTCTTTCCAACAGTGGTACTCATTTATCAACTTTGGAAAGAAGAAAAACAAGTGACCGTGACAGAGGGTTGGACTTGGGACCAATCGGTTCTGAGTTCGATGCCGTACCACCCGATTAACCCGACTATGGAATACAACCAGTGTGGCATGAGATCTCAGGGGATTAGCCAAGCACAGGTCCAACAGAGAGCTATAAATACGGCATCTTTAGTAGTTCACTCCAATCGATAGCATGCTGCCTTTCAGTTCTTTGTTCCACGACGAAACTAAGAACGGTTTTTTCATCATTTCCTTCGCAAAAGCCAAACTCAACAAGGCTTTTAACAGCCCACAAGCTGGCACTTTAAAAAAAACGGTCGACAAAAGAATCGAGCAGCGTTGACAGTAGATGCTTTTAATGAAAATTCTAAGCTGGCCGTCCTCAGAACAATGGTCGATCAGACCCTGCTGTAGAAGCATCGGCGATGAGGTCTGAATGCGCAGCAGTGAAAAACAATTTTTTGTACCGTGTTTGTCTATTCGTTTGTACTTGACTTTTCTTGTTTGCAACTAATTCCTTGCAAGAGTTCGCGAAAAGTGAAAAGCATGAAAAAGCATAGACAACCAAACCACTCTATGCCAATTTTTGGGGACCAAAAAGTCTGAAGGTAAATAACAATTTCTGCTGCAGTGTCTGTCGATGAAACTGAACTGCTAACATTCAGTGTCTACACATCATCCACGTCACG